TGAACAGCAAGCACCTTTATCTGTTGAGTCATTTCCCAGTCCTACAGACTTTTAATGTTTTCTTCCAGAAGTTTTATAGTTATAGCTTTCACATTTAGACCTACTGTCTCTTTTGAATGATTTTTTTCCTATATAGTAGTAAGCATTTATTGAAGTTCATGCCTTTCCCATCTGAGCAGTCAGTGGTTCTAGCAATCATTTATTGAAAAGTGCCCAACCCCTGCCTCCCATTCCCCCCCCCCCCCAAGTGACAGTTTTCTTTGAACCTTTGTCAAAAGTCTGTTACCTGTGCACACAGTTTTATTTCTGGGTTCTATTCTGTTTCACTTATCTTCTTTTCTCATCTTTCCTTCCTTCCTCTCTCCCTTCTTTTTTCATGTTTTAGAGAACAGGTCTTGCTGTGTAGCTGGAGCTGCTCTAGCACTTGAGATGTTAACCAGCTAGCCTTGTTAAACTTGTAGCAATCCTCTTGTTTATATCTTCCGAGTACTGGGATTGCAGGCATGTAAATCAATCAGGATTCATCTGTTTGTCTTAACACCAAAACCAAAGAGTGCAATCATTACCACTTACAACAAGTCCTGAAATCAACTTTGTTCTTCTTCAAAGATAATCTGACTAGTCTAAATCCACTTCATTTCTACCTGGGTTTAGATCAGATTGCCAATTTCTATGTATTAAAAAACAAAACAAAACAAAAAAGCCAGTAGGAATTGCAGTTGTATTGAATCTATAGGTCAATCTGGAGGAATATAACTATAGTACAAATAAATAACTATAAATAATAAATGCTTTATTGTGTATATTTTCCATATAACAAACTTCTGCAAGTCTGTGGACTCCTCTCTCTCGTCTCAGACACTCCAGGCAGCAAACTAGCTGTCTAGGTCTCCCTAGATGGTCAGTTCCATTTCTGCAACGTTGAATGGGTTGTCCCTCCCCGAGCTGCATCCTGGGAATTCTTAAGGTAGTCATCTGGGGTGACCTTAGGGCACACCTTACTTACTTCCTGCCTCTCTGAAACCAGTGCTCTCTCCTTTGTCGGATGTCCAATGTCCTCAAAACTGCTATTTCCTTTATTTTGTTCATTGTTAAAATTGTTTCAGGTGAGAAGGCAAACTGATCCCTATTATTTCATCTTCATTTCTGTCAAATCTGTCCTCAATGTTAGAAAAGTCAAGTAAAAAATAGGACGAAAACATAACACTGCAATGGTGATACTTGCTATAAACAAACAGAAGAGAGTAATACCCAGTAAGCCTACAAGACAATAATTTTATGGTATTTGCTTAAGTCTTACCTAGATATCTCAGCCTGGGAATTTTTTTCTCCATCAACAGTGAAAGGAGATGCTCCTGTTAGTAGCTCATACATTAGAACACCTAAACTCCACCAGTCAACTGCCTATAAAACAATAATAATTTCATTTTGTAGAATTAGCAACTAAAATATATGTCACAAGAAAAAAGGATCAAAATAAAGTTATATACTTAAAAATATTTTACTAAAAACATTTTAATAGATTTCTGTCCCAGGAGGATTAAGTTAACACATATAAGAGACATTTAGAGAGAAAAAAAATGCCTATATACACCCAGAACAGAAAGTGCTTTAATGATTTCCTAAATCAGTTACTTTTAGCATTGTTAATTTAAAACAATTGAACTTAAAATTTATTTCTTAACAGTTTAAGTAGGTGGAATATTGAATTTATAATGTGGGGAGAAAAGTACCAACTAGCATTTTATAAAGTGTTCATATCCAACAAACAAGATAGAACTCTTTAAACTAAGTACCAACCAGCATTTTATAAAGTATTCATATCCAATGAACAAGATAGAATTCTTTAAACCCAAAGGCAAAGATGTAAAAATCTCATGTAAGGGTGTTATTTATTTATTTATTTATTTATTTATTTATTTATTTATTTTGGTTTTTCGAGACAGGGTTTCTCTGTGTAGCTTTGAAGCCTATCCTGGCACTCACTCTGGAGACCAGGCTGGCCTTGAACTCACAGAGATCCACCTGCCTCTGCCTCCTGAGTGCTGGGATTAAAGGTGTGTGCCACCAACACCCGGCTAAGGGTGTTATTTTTTAAACAGCCACCTAAAATTAAATTTCTCTTACAGAATGTGGTGACGTCTCCACACCAATGGGGAGATTTTAAAGTAACAGAAAATAAGATGTACTTTAAAATGGAAACCCATTTATAAACATAATCATCTGAACAATAAATATTCAAGAGAGAATATTTTTGGCTAGTTATATCATGGATCTTAGCCATGCAGAGATTCTAGGTGTAAAACAAGATTTTCTTATTTGAAAATTAAAGTTTTAGTAGTTAATTTTCCAAATCTAAGTTATAAATTCTTACAGAATTACACAATTGCTTTAAATTATACCATAAAGCACACTAAGCCAGCATTTCAGGCCCTGAATTCACATAAGCAGGTTCAATGCTATTGAATCTGCCCTCAGAATGCTATGCACTGGGCATGAAACCATGCTGTGTGGCTAACACAGATTCTAGCCATGGACCAGTAGCCACTGCCATTCAAACTTGGGAATGGGATTGATAGACATAAGATAGGTCATCAGAAAGGAGACCACGCAGTCAGCCCAGATACTGGAATCGTGTATGTGGTGTTTTGACAGGAGATGAGGGAGAGAACAGTAAGGACAGGCCAGCCAGAATACATGTGGAGAATGTTATTGTTAAATCAAAAGTGATAGGAAAGAATTATCCTTTGATACAGGACAGAAAAATAAATGACCTAGATTTTAGAACAAGCTAAAGCTGATAGGTTCTTTATTATCTTCATTGGCACTCACACAGTGAAGAGAGGAGGGGAAAAAAAGAAATGAAAGAAAAAGGAAAAAACCAAGCTCTTTAGAGGGTTAGGAAACAGACTGTATTTTGAGTGTAGAATTTTCCTTTCAAGGCTATAAAAAAGGCTATTTCTGTTGGAGAATAACCAACAAAGTCATCAATATCTCTGTGAAGTTAAAGGCAGAAACTGGGAATAAGACATGAGTGGTTTTCTTTTTCAATGGTCTCTAAATCTCTCAGAAGAAGGACTTATTCACCAAAGGTGGACACCACCACCACCACCACCACCACCATCCATTTCTGTCCATTTCCTGAAGAATTCAACCAAGCTAACAAAACTCTGTACAAAATCTTTCTCCATGATTCAGAGAGGAGCCACATATATAGCTGAGCTATCTAGTCACACCTCTGTATTAGACTTTGTTCAAATGTGTCTCATACAACACAAAAGGAATGTGTTTTTTTTTTTTTTTTTTTTTTTTTTTTAATGGAGTCCTAGTTGGTACTTTGTTTAAGCTCACAGGCTCTTCCAATGAAAATAAACTTTTAAACAATTTGAAGAATAATTTCAAGGTCTCAAATTTAACAAGAATGTCACTCTACAAAGCAAAAGATCTTCAATGAAACCTTAAAAGGAAAACCTATAATGTCTTAAATTTTTGTTTTTCAAAAAAAAAATGTGAAAACTCATTGTGTGTACACAAAACAGAGAAACAAATGAAGGCAAGAGGTACCAGAAAGATGCTCTGTTTAAGGTCTGGACTTGAAGTTATCAACTGGGATTCACTCTTACTGCATAATTTACAGAAATACACAAAATAGTATCAAAAGTAGAACATACCTTGTCATGTCCTGAATCACCCCCTCTGACAATATCTGGTGCCATGTATTCAATAGTTCCACAAAAAGAATATGCTCTTTCAGTCTTGAATAAACAAACAAAAAGGGGATTTGATTTCTAACTAGCATGACAAGTAACGCATGTCAGTGGTAGAGTTACAGCAGCAGCGGCAGTATAATTTTCTCGGTACCATCACTCAGGTACCGAGCATCCAACCCAGGTCCTCTACAAGAGCAGCAAGTGCTCTGAACCACAGACACATCTCTCCAACTTCATTTTATATTATTTTGAAAATGCCATTAAGACATCTCTAAAACACCAAATACCAAATCAAGTTTCGGAACACAGAAAAAAAAAACTCCACAATTTGATGAATTTAGAGGTATTGCATCTCTTGATTTTTGCTTAGAAAACTAGTCTTTTAGGCAAATCTAATAAAACTTCATCTCACATTTTATAGGTGGCTTTGCTTCACATATTTTGAAACTATGCTGATTTCCTTCCCAGTGTGAGGCAATAAAAAAATCAAATTTTCATTTGATAAAAAGTTCAGTTGGGGCTGGGAAGATGATGTAGTATAGTAGATAAGGGCAACTGCCAGCAAGCCTGATGACCTGAGTTTGATACACAGAATCCACACAGTGGAGAGAGCTGACTCTGGTAAGCTGTACTCTGATCTCCACATGTGCACCGTGGCATGTGTGTATTGAAATGCATACAGGTACAATAAATAAATGTAGAAGATTTCAAATTAAGTCTCAAAATCTGTATTTTCTTCTCTAAGACACTAGATAATTGTAACTTTGATTTTAAAAGTTTATGAAACATATGTATTCATTAGTACCAAATCATGTTTTATTTTAAAATCTTTGTTTTTTTACTATAAATAGAATCCTATCACTTTCTATTCTGTTTCTTCCTTTCAACCCCTCCCAGATACCCACCAGACCCCTCATATCTCCCCGCTTCTAAGTTGACAACTTCTTTTTCTTTATTATTATTACATATAATGTATGTATATGCACAAATATATATAAATACAACCTAGTGAACCCGTTTTTTGTTGTTTGTGTGTATATGGTTTCAGGGCTGACCACTCTGCATTGGATAAACAATAAGGGCAAGGAAGCTATACTACATTCTTTTTTTTTTTATTTGAATTAGAAACAAAATTGTTTTACATGTCAATCCCAGTTCCCTCTCCCTCTCCTCCTCCCCTACCAACCCCTCCCCAACTAAAACCCTACCTATCACATATCCTTTCTGCTCCCCCTGGATGGGGAGGCCTTCCATAGAGTATCATCAGTCTATCGTATCCTCTGGGATAGGGCCTAGGCCCACCCCCGTGTGTCTTGGTTCAGGGAGTATTCCTCTATGTGGAATGGGCTCCCAAAGTCCACACCTATGCTAGAGATAAGTACTGAACTACTACAGTAGGTCCCGTAGATTTCCGAGGTTTCCTCACTGAAACCCATGTTCCTGGGGTCTGCATCACTCCCATGCTGGTGGTATCTCAGCTATCGGTCTGGGGAACAAGAGCTCCCTGATGTTCAGGTTAGCTGTTTCTGTGGGTTTCACCAGTCTGGTCTGGACCCCTTTGCTCTTCACTCGTCCTTCTCTGCATCTGGATTCCAGTTCAGTTCGGTGATTAGTTGTGGGTGTCTGCTTTTACTTCCACCAGCTGCTGGATGAGGGCTATTGGGTGGCATATAAGTCAGTCATCAATCTCATTATCAGGGGAGGGCATTTAAGGTAGCCACTCCTCTGTTGCTTAGATTGTTAGCTGGTGTCATCTTTATAGATCTCCAGACATTTCCCTAGTGCCTGATTTCTCTGTAAACCTAAAATGTCTCCCTCTATTATGGTATCTCCATTCTTGTTATCTTCTGTTCTTCCCCTGACTCAACCTTTCTGCTCCCTCATGTACTCCGCACCCCTCCTCTTCTCCTCTTCTCATTCTCCTAGCTTCCTCCCCCTATACCACATTCTAAGCCATGTTTTATTTTACCTGAAAGCAACAACTATGTAACTCCTTTCTTTATTGTCTTAAAATTAACTTCTAAATAATACATGCATCACCCAAAGAAAAAAATGACTAGGAGTTTTAAAACAGTAAAAATAATAGAAGTCAGAGCTTAGGAGAGCTAGCTGAAGGCTGTTTCTAAAAATTCTTACTTGTTATTTTGAAAAACCAATTATCAGTAAAATTACTATAAAATTTGAAGCTTTGGAAAAAACACAGAAGAAACTTACAGAGAATAAAAGGAACAAAAGAACTAATGAAAGAAGTAGTAAAGCCAGGGACTGAGTAGAGCATGTCTTACAGAAGACTAAGAAAGGGAAAACACGTGAAAAGACAAATTGAAATATTGGTAATTTAAAAGGAAACATTATAGGAGTTATAACAGAAATTAAACATATATAAAAATTCTATGAACAAATAGAGGCCAAAGAATTTTAGACATAATGTAGTATTTTATATAAAATTACAATTTACTAAAACTAATTCAAAAGTAATTCAAGTATAAACACACTTATATGTTTATGTAAGTATTTGGGCTACACATCATGAAAATAGAAAACAACATGGGCCATGCTAGTTGTGCAAATGCATTCTTCCTTTAAGTAAAAAAAAAAAAGAAAAAGAAAATGCATTCATTCAACTTTACAGAAATTTGTAAACATTTATGTAAAAAAAAAGTCTGTAAAACTATTCCAAATGCAATTTATTGTATCAAAACCTTGATAGCAAACTCAGAAAAATGCAAGCACTTTGATCAATTTCATCTGAAACTCACCATTAACCTTAACTAGACCCCCCCCAACTGCTGAGCAACAAAACAGACATTTTTTCCAATCCATTTATTTTACATGTTCAGTATTTCAATTCCTTTCCCTATTCTCAGTGAGAAAATGAAAGCAATCAATCACAAAGACCTTCCATAGCCACCTCCAAGCCTCCAGACATTCTTATGCCCACTAATTCATCTTCACCCTGAAGACTGGCACTTTCATCTCTGGCTAAGATCTACACTGTCTTGTGCACTTGCTGATCTCAACCTCAAAGACTGTTCTAAGTCCTTTCCTTTTTTCCCCTCCCTGTATCATTAGAATAAAGAGATATTCTAACAGGCATGTGACATGTCTTATTTCTCCTCCCTATGTCTCTCACTCTGTAGCCAAAGCTGGCCTCAAACTCACTATATATTCCAGGCTGGCCAGGAACTCATGGTCCTTCTGGATTGTACTCACCACACCCAGATAATTTCTCGTATTTTTAGGTATAGAACTCAGCCTCTCTCAAGTCTACCTGATCCTCTGTGGTGCTCTCCACTCACCTCACTTTTCTTCATAGGTACCTGAGTTGTACACAGATGCTATTTTAAGTCAACTTCTGTTCTCTCTTAACTAAGATTTCAATTGCGCTAGTGTTCAACCTTCAGTACTCATTTTATTTAATCTAACTGACAGCTAATCATTTCTGGCTTGAGACAATTTCCCACTTGGCTTTAAAGGACTGTCTCTTTTCTTCCCAGTTTCTTTTTCATACTCTTTTGCTGTTCCCTTATATACAAAATTGGAAATTATCAAATGTATGTACCTAATCCAGATCTTTCTCTCAAGTCCCATACTGATAATAGTGAGCAGATACTTGCTTTCATGTCTCATGGGTCATTCTGATTTGGCTTACTGTACTGAACCGGTTCACCCACCCTTACAGTTGCTCTAGCAAAAAACCTTAGAGCTATCCTAGATTCTTCGGGTTCTCTCATATCCCACATCTAACTCATAAAATTTCCACTAGTCCTATTGTCAGAATAAGCTCCAAATCTACTTCTGAAACTCCACCCTACTACCCATGGCTCAAGGCAACAATATCTTTTGCTAAGACTACTGCAGAGCTTCTTTAACTCAACTCATTTCCTGCTCCACTGTGAGTTACCACTCAAGCCAAGCAGAATTACATTGCACAACAGCTCTGTTTAAGTCATGCTACTCAGACTCGCTAGTGACTACTGGTGTGTACAGAGAAGCCGTGCTACTTACTTGCCCTTTCCTTGTAATCCTTCCCAAGTTACATGTCCTTACCCTCCACTACTCTATTCGTCACTTGTTCCATGCGTCCCACATTGCCTCACTGTTCCACAAACGCTCGGGCCTTAATAATGCCCAACTCTCTCACCTAGAAACAAGTTCCCAAGACACCCACAGAGCCCACTCTCACTTCCTTCACACCTATTCTCCCATGCCAGCTTCTTGGTAGAGCACCTCCAGGACAACCTATACGCCCTGATCCTTCCATCGCCTTCCTGCTGAATTTGATTCCGTGCAACCTATTACTACTTGTGTTACTGTCTGCTGCCCAGTTTAAGGGGAAAGCTTTGTCTCCTTGGCTCACTATCAGGTCTCCACACCTTGGTTGAACAATGTTTGGATCATGGCAGACACTGATTCAATATGTCCTGAACATGCATAAAAAATGGAAATGTTCATAACTGAAACTGTGAATGCTGAGTTCATATACTATTATATTTATATTGCTCTCTGACTTTCATATGCATATCAAGTCCCAGACATGCACACATATATACACACAATGTAGAAAGAAACACACTATTATTTTGCTCAATGGACAAAGCAACAAAACAATTCCTAATGACTTGTTACTATACCCATCAATGAATGCCTCACTCAACCTTAATCATAGAAGCTTCTTGCAGTAGTTGGCAATTAACGCATAGACCCACAACTTGTCCACATGAAGAGAATAGGGGTCTTTGGAGTGCTTGGCCCTAAATGGGATGTCTATACCACACCCCTCCCCTCAAGGCTCTATGTGGAGGGTGGAGCAGAAAGAAGATAAGAAAGCCAAGAGCGTGGTGGTATACATCTTTAATTTTAGCACTCAGGACATAAAGGCAGGCAGTTCTCTTATGAATTCAAGGCCAGTCTGATGTGCACATCAAGTCCCAAGTCAGCCAACCTCCCCTCCCCACGCCCTGACCAAAAAAAAAAAAAAAAAGATTGCTGGAACCAGAGGGGGTGGGGGTGTATCATTTCAAAGAAATTGTATTTTTCTTCAT